CCCCCCCCCAAATGATATCCTTGTCCTAACCCTAGAGTTTGTGAATATGTTACCTGTTATGGCAAAAGGGGCTTTGCAGATGAGATTAAGAATCTTGAGATGGAGAGAGTATCCTGGATTATCCAGGCCATTTCAGTGATAGAATCACAGTGTCCTAATAAGAGGGAGATACTATTACAGAACTAGATGTGATGACAGAAGCAAGAGGTTAGATAGAGTGATGTGAGGAAACAGTTACTAGCCAGGTAATGCAGGTGGCCTCCAGAATCTAGAAAAGGCGGGGAAGTAGGTTCTCCTTTAGGGAGCTTCTAGAAGGAACAAGCCCTGCCTTGACTTTAGCACTGTTAAACTGATTTCAGACTTCTGGCCTCTAGAACTGTAAAAGGATAAACTTCTGTTGTTTTAAGCCACCAAGTTTATGGTAATTTGTTACAGCAGCCATAAGGAACTAATACACTCACAGTTTTTATCATTTCCATTGCTCTTCATTTCTTTGTATAGATTGAAATTTCCATTGGGTATCAAACTCCTTTTGCCTAAATTACTTCCTTCAATGTATCTTCCAGTGCAGATCCACTGGTAATGAATTCTCTCAGCTTTTGTTTCTCAGAAGATGTCTTTATTGCTCTTCAGAGTTGGGTATAGAGAGTTCTAAGTCACTGCATTGTCTTCTGGATTGCATGTTTCTGATGAGAAATTTGCTGTCACCCTGATAATTGTTCATCTGTATATAGTTTCTTTTTTTGGCTGTCTGCCTTGATTTTCTCATGGGATTTCAGCAATTAAAATATGATGTACCTAGATGTGTTTTTCTTTGTATTAATCCTCCTTGGAATGCTCTAATCTTCTTGAATCTGTGGTGTTTTTGCCTTGTATTGATTTTTGGAAAAGTCTCAGCAATTATCTCTTCAAATCTCTTTTCTCTCCTGTTCTCTCCCCCTCCTCCTCCCTCTTTTTCTTTTTACCCCTCTCCTGGGACTCCAGTTATGTATATTTTAGATAGCTTGATATCATCCCATAGCTCTCAGTTCTATTCTCTCTTCTTCATATTTCCAGTTTCATAATTGCCTAATTTCCAGTTTTACTTATTTCTTCTCTGCTGTATCCAAATTATTCATCTTCAATAATGTAGGTTTTTTATTTTTAGCATTGCTGTTCATGCCTTTGTTTTACAGTTTCCAACTTATTGCTGAAATTGCCTATCTGTCCAACATGTCCACATTTTCAGTGAAATCTTCTAAAATGTTTAACTTGGTTAAAGTCTTTGTTTGATAGTTCTAACATCTGGATGGGCCATCCCTTGGTCTGGTTCTGTTAACAATTTTATCTCTTGATAATTAGTCGTTTCTCTTTCTTACCTTTGTGTATCTCTCAATTTTTTATTTAACGCTGGACCTTGTGTGTAACAGGATAGTAGGGATTGAGGCAGACAGTATTTATTCCTGGAGAAGGGCATACCTTCTGTCCTACCAGGTCATTAGTGTGAAGTGTGGTTAACCTAGTAGGAAGTTGAGCTGCTACCTTGGGCTAGTATGGGGCCTGGAGTATTGCAAGGTTCTTCTGTGCTCCTGCTTCAGACTTAGCTTCTAGAAGGCCCTGGTGCTTCTTTCTTCTGTGCCTGCATGAATGGGGGTCGTGGGGAATGGGACTCTTTCTCTGCATTCTTACCTCTTAGCCTGCCTCCAGTGGTGGGCTGCTGCTGTTAGTTGGTGCAGGCTCCTGGAGGGGTCAGGGGATCTATCAGGGTTTCTTGAGGTTTCTTAGCTCTCTTGTTGCAGTCCTAGTCTTGGGCAGACCCTTTTGTGCCTTAGCCTCATGGGTGGAATCTTCCAGATGTTCTTGTGTCAGGGAGTTCTTGATGGGGTACCCTGGTTCTTTCCACCTCTCTGCACTGAGCATGTTGGGATTGATTTGAACATTGCTGGGAAAGGACCCCGCAAAAGTTACTGGCATGTCTTTGGTAGAACTTTAGCTCTCTACAGAGTCATCTTTGAAAATAGTAGCTCTGACCTCACCCCTGCTGAAAAGCCCTCTAGTGCCTGCCATGGCGCTCAGGTCAAAGGCTATGAGCTCTACAGTCTCGAGCCTCTCACCCTGACCTTCCGTCATTTATTTCTTATCTGTCTCCCTGGCCCCAGACCACCAGTTTTGAGGGCAGGTGTCTTGTTCTGTGTGTATCGCTAGTGATGAAATGGTGCCTGGCACATAGTAGGGGCTCAGCAACTGTCTTGGATGGATAAGAAATGAGTGCAAGTCTGGAAAGCCCGAACCTCCCTTGCTTCCAGCAGATAGACTCCTGTCCAGCCTACAAGTTCATGCACAGATGTCATGGAGAAGCCTTTCAGGGGACTCCCCAATTTGGGGAGGGGCCTCTCTCCTGCATCCCAGCCCTGGCACAGATCTTGTAGTACTGGTAGACCTGCTTGGCCCTCTGCTCCCTCCTCCTAGGTCCCCAGGGCAGGGCCATGCTAGCCAGGCCTGTCCCACCCAGCCCCCAGCAGACTACTTGGTGAACCAGCAGAGGCCCTTCACTGCACCAGGGGGCTGCCAGCTTTGGGCTGATTCTGCGTGTGCATGCTGAATTAAACATTTAATGCCTGTTTTCCTGTTTTAGGAAAAGTGAACCATCACATTCCTCTCCGTGGAGATAAGAGGACTTGGGCTGGAAGCATGTGGTGTGTCCTGAGAGCCTGGAGGCGAGGGCACCTGAGCCCTAGGGGAGTCCAGGGACAGCCATGGCCCCCAGGCATCCGTGCTCTGGCCAGTGTGGCCTCCAGGAGTGGGAACGAGTACAGTCACGTGGTGGTGGGTGCAGGCTCTGCGGGCTGTGTGCTGGCCCGACGGCTCACTGAGGACCCTGATAAGCATGTGCTGCTGTTGGAGGCTGGGCCCAAAGACACGTATGCAGGGAGCAAGCGGCTCTTGTGGAAGATCCACATGCCCGCGGCCCTCGTGGCCAACCTGTGCGACGACAAGTACAACTGGTACTACCACACGGAGCCGCAGGCAGGCCTGGACGGCCGCGTGCTGTACTGGCCCCGCGGCCGGGTGTGGGGAGGCTCCTCGTCCCTCAACGCCATGGTCTACATCCGCGGGCATGCCGAGGACTACGACCGCTGGCACCACCAGGGCGCCACAGACTGGGACTATGCTCACTGCCTGCCTTACTTCCGCAAGGCGCAGTGCCACGAGCTGGGGCCCAGCAGGTACCGCGGCGGCGAAGGTCCACTGCATGTGTCGCGGGGCAAGACCAACCACCCGCTGCACCGGGCATTCTTGGAGGCGGCACAACAGGCCGGCTACCCCTTCACCGAGGACATGAATGGCTTCCAGCAAGAAGGCTTCGGCTGGATGGACATGACCATCCACAAAGGTAGCACAAGGTGCCCACCCCCCATCTGCCTTGTTCTTCCTTTAAGAAAAATTTACTACTACAGCTCCACCCCTCCTGCTCTCATCATGGTCAGTGTGGACAAATGAGCTGGTATGAGATAGAGGGGATGTGACATATTGCACCCTCTACAGGCCACAAAATACAACCCCAGTCAATGAGAAATGTCATGGGGATGGTGACACCTTGGACATTTTCTGGGTTGCTGGCCCCTGAAGGTGTGGATAATGGAGAGTCACCTCTCTGACCAAACAAGTCAGAGTTCTCTAGGGAAGTACAGATGGGTAAACTGAGGCACAGACCACCCAGGGGGCCCAGGTAGATGTGGATTTCGGTTGGACAGGGTCTTTTGCTCTCAGCCTTACTTGGAAGGCAGAGGTTGCATGGTCAGGTGATGGTCAGGTTCCCCCTTTCTCCAGCCCCCTCCCACTTCCCCCCTGGGCAGGTGCCAGGGGAAAGGGCAGGGGCTGTGTCTGAAATCCTTGCTCTGTCCTGCAGGCAAGCGCTGGAGCACAGCCTGTGCGTACCTGCACCCGGCACTAAGCCGTCCCAACCTCACAGCTGAGGCCCAGACATTTGTGAGCAGGGTGCTGTTTGAAGGCACCCGCGCAGTGGGCGTGGAGTACATGAAGAACGGCCAGAGCCACAGGGTGAGCCACAATTACCCCTGGGCAGCTCAGACAGTGGGGGGGGGGG